TGCTTGGGTCAACGCTTGTTTCCCTGCAAACACTTCAAGAAAGTCGAAGCTGGCATCAGGCAGATCCATCCACTGAAGCATAAGAACCTGGGCTTTTTGAACATTAGAGGATGCCATGCGAAGGACAAACATCAGCTGCAGGTGAGGACCCCGCTATTGCGATAAGCGCCTAGTGAACAGATTGCAAAAGCGGTCAATGCAACTAAGGGTAGCTTCACTACCCGAAAGGCCTTTGGAGCTTGTACATGTTGAAGATTGAAGACAGGTGAGTTCACCATAGCACTCAAGGCGCCAAAGGACTTTAAGAGAGCTTGATCCCCCAAAACCTTGCGGACATGTACCATGCACGCTTACCAAATTGGATGTGTTTTGCATGCCAGCCATAGACGAATCTCACCTTGTGAAGTCAGCCGCATGGCAAATCGATAACGTTAACTTAATATCCCAAATACAGGCCGGTCCCAACCTGCCGCAATCACCTTCCTCATCCAGCCAGTTCCACGGGGCATTGGCAGCCGCCACCTGCAAAACTGTCCGGTACCATATTCAATAGTATCATATAATAATTGATTTGTATTACATTAATGAGCATGATCAAAGGAGTTTGCGTGCTGCATACGCCATGTCAAACGTGAGACCTGCAACATATAGGCGGCAACAAATGGTTTTCTAGCTGCAGCTTGACAAAAGTTGCATGGGCGTTCCTCCCACTGCATTCTGAGATCGATCTATGTAAGATTGCTCAGGCAATCGCAAACCCCGGATAGTCTTAAGCTATCATACCCTGGCCATGTTCATCACGGCCAGTTCTACGTCAGCGGTGATCAGGTGGTCGACGCATAAGCCTGGACAGGAACTTGAAGTATATATACTATAGCTATAAGAGGATATAAGTTTGACATGGGGTCTCAAAAAAACAAAGTGTACGATCAGAATAAGTATCGAGACACCTTCTTGGCAATGACCTTCGCAGCAGCCATGTCCATGCCATCCTTCAGAGCACCTTTCAGTGCGCAATGATACGCACTGCTCTTCCTTGATGCCTTCTTCTTGGCCTCGGCCTTGGCGGCTGCCTTGCTGGCCTTTTTCTCCTCCACAGCATCGACGGAAGCATTTGCATCTGATGATGAAGCTGGCGATGACTCAGCCTTCTTGGCCATCTTCTTTGCCGAAGCCTTCGGAGAGGACTTGGCTTTTCCTTTCGGCTTGGGCTTTGGCGAAGACTTTGGTGCCTTTGGCGTCTTTTCCTTCCTTTCTTTAGGGCTTCCCTTCTTTGAAGCTCTCTTCACGGACTTCCCTTTTGATGCCCCTTTCTTTGCCGCAGGCTCGTGAGACTCCTCTTCAAGCTCATCTTGCCCAGCTTTCTTCTTGGCCCGTTTCTTTGGAAGGTTCGAGCGCTGGTCGGCAGGTGCGATCGGGGACACATTGTTCAGCACCGCAGGCCGACCCTCAGTCTGAGCCACGCTGGCAGATGGCTTTGGTGTTTCTGCAGCCTCATTGGCAGGAGTAGCATCTGAGACCACTGCCTCCGCTTTGACTTCCACATCGACCCCCTTCGCTTCTCTTGGGATGGCCACATAGAGCTTTGTGGCACGCTTCCGAAGGGACTCCTCATCAATCAAATCAACGTCCATGGGCAAAGTATCCATGTTGTCAATACCTCGGATTTGGCCACATTGGACTCCTATACCCCCCAAGCCAAAAACAACCTCCCCTAAAAAAAACAAGACACTGTCAGTTTACAACCTGGGCACTTGTTTGTGTTGAAGGCGCCAGCGACTGCTGAGTTCGAGTCTTCCTCCAGCGGGCCCAATAGGGATCATAGAGCTTCCGAGATGCATCCACAGCAGCACGCTCAGCCTCAGCAGCAGCCTCAGCAGCACGCTCAGCGTCATCATCCAAGGTGTTTGCCTTGGAGACTTCCAAAGCAGGCTTCTTTGCTGGAGGTTCTTCTGCTGCCAACGCCGGTGCCGCCGATGATGATGCTGTAGCTGCAGGCTCCTCAGGCGCAGACAATTGCTTTCTCTTCGCCCCGCCACATTCAGAAGACTGTTTCTCCACAGGCCTTGCATGAATGGGGTCTTGGCCCTGAGCTGTGTCTTTTGCTGCACTTCTTTGGGCGTCCTCTTCCAATGACTCGCTCAATGCCTTTTGGAGTTGCTCCTCTTCGGTCTCATACATGCGCAATTCGCGCATTTGCTCCTCAAGCTCAGACAGTTCTTGGGCTTCTGCCACTTCCTTAGCCTCTTGAACGACCAAGACGTCATGCAACTGTTTTTCCAAGGCTTGTAACTCCTCCATCTCCTTCTCAATGTCACTTTTCGAAAGTTGCTTCATAGAAAGTTCACGCCCAACAACAGCAGCGCTGCAACCAATCCCGGACAATGATGGAGTGGCAGGAGCCGAGGAAGAAACTTTCATGGGAACTGGAATCTTGCAACTCTGCTCACGTAAGTGAGTCGCATCGTTGCCCACCCTGTTGCACTTCAAGCACTTGTAGCCGTGGGTTTTGTCCTTGACTAAGTAGTGATCCCAAGGTTCACCTGGAAACTCTTCAGGATCTTCGGCACCTTTGCCAGGCACAGTTGTTGCAGAAGTAGCTGCACTCCCACCTTGGCAGCTTTGACACTGGAAGCCAGACACACACATGCCCATATATTATAGGTCCTATAGGTATAACGTCCAATAACTAGCCGATAACTCATAATTTAGTCCCATTGATGCCATGGCCTCTTTGGAAACTTAATGTGAGGGGTCAAAACTTTGCAACTGGCCGTCCGAGGCGCCACTATGCACACGTGATCCAGCTGGAAGCAAGGCGGACTCTGAGGATGTGGGGCTCGTGAAGAGTTCGCGGCGGCATCCGTTGGTGCTCTCATTTTCCTCGCACAGGGTGCAAAAGTATGGGAGGGCAATCCTATTGTCTTGTCGGGGATGCCGGATTAAACCGGAGTTGGTAGAAGCTGCTCAATTTATACACATGGCATATGTCCTCTGGGTTGACAACTGGGTCATTTTCATGAAGTTCTTCTTCTTCACCTTCTTCCCCTCCATCATCCTCCACGGGCTCAGCAGCTGATGCACCAGCTGAGCCTGTTGGATCAGTTTGGTCTGTTGGGTTGTGTTCTTATAACGTTTCTTACACTCACCATAAATAAGGAATGTTTAAACAAAAAACTGTTGAACAACATCAAGGGGCTTGTAGATCCTGACCGATGTGGGGATGGATCGGGGATAGGAAGCCCAGCAGCTTCCATGAGCTTCAAGAATTCCGGCTCACGAGGACGATGTCCCCGCTTTGTTGCCCGGGAGAACGTGTAAACCATGTTCCGGAGAATCCAGCTCTCGGCCATCACTTGGTCACCTCGCCCGTTTTGAACCCCAAACATAGAACATACCGGTATTTAGCTAGCATCATATGGATCCATCGAAGGTCGAAATCAAAAGCTTGATTGGCAGTACTATCAAGTCACGAGTTGGGATCGGTTTGCCGCGCGGCCGGCAGTGCGTCAAGAATAGTGCAGCTGCTTCGGATATCGAGGTTACAGCTGGGCGGAGTCCTTGGTCGCGACCATACATGGCCAATTATAAACCATTAAAAGTAGTGGTCTTGTCTATTTGGCTATTCGGGGTCCATTTAAGTTGGGAAAGGCAATTAGCTGGATTTTAGCAGTGCCTAGGCTCCCAAATGCTTCACGATGGGCTCGAGAACCTTGCTGTTGGTGCAAACTTCCTTCCGGGTTATCTCCCTGTCCTTGCCCACAACTGCTAGAACAACACCGGCTGCCTGTTTACACAGGGAAGGATCCTCTTTCCATGCTGCCACGACTTCAGCTATGGAGTCGGACGCCATACTAAGAAAACCAACCAACCACTTCTTGAACCAAATGGCCCTGATGTGCAGTAGGGAGCTCAACGGAGACTTCTGGGAGAGGAACCCCTGGCCCTTCACGGATGTCCAGCCTCAAAACCGCCACTGCCAGGCCAATGCAAATGCTCCAATACCTGCGGTGTGCACTCAACACACGGCCTCAGAAGGGGTGAGCAGGGTGCACAATAGATATGGGTGGATTATGGATGCACTATTGATCATTTTTATTTCTTCTAGTCATCTAGTCATTATAGACAACCATCCAGCAAACCAACGGGTGGGGCACTTATTGATCATGCGGATCCATACCGCAAAAGTGTAAGAGCCAAAATGGCTCTAAGAGGCAACTCAAAAAACGTGCGTTTTAGCAGAACTGCACGTTTTGCTGATTTCTGCTCGTTTGCTCGAGGAACGCTCGTTTTAAGGGATTCAGAGGAATGCCAGAAATTAGTGTAACGTTGGAAGATCCAGGTACTAACGAAAACTGACGAAAACCTAGCGTGTGACACTTCCATCAGCTGCCCTTTCCACTTGGCTGACACGACTATGCGAATTTGCTGATATAATTGCACATTTTGTTTACGTCCAGTTGCCTTTCAAGCAAGGCCCTACAATGTCTTCACACTCGCCTGCACTAAAAGGAAATGACTCTTTGAGGCGCATGGATGTGTGGACCAAAATTGCCGTCAACTGACCGAAACTGCCGCAGTTCATCAAGAAACGCCGTCCCCATGAGATCAATATGGAAGAACGCCACAGAACGGAAAAAGGCAACGTTTCATGAAAACGGCAATTATTATTGCCGTAACGAAGTTCCAGGTATGTCAATTCCCATTATTTCCCACGCATGAATGATAGAGTTATTCTTTTCTCATAAAAAACAGCTACATTCCGAGGCTTCAGTCAAACTGCTCTTAGGATCCCTTAGGGCAGAAAACAAACACGAGCATCAGTTGGACGTGTCGCCGAAGAAATCCTCCGCAGAAACATATCACGTTCACTTCCTAAGGGTGAATCCAAGATCCAAGGCTCCGAGCCTTGGAATGTACCTGAGTGGGTCCCAGCCATTCTCCGCGCACCAAAAGCACTTATGGTGCATTCCTATGGTGCATTCCTTCAGCCTAGCGGCCACGTGAGTCCAAGGAGAGCCGCTGTCAAGCCGCGACTGCCAGGAACGAGCAGCCCTAAGCTCGAGCAACGCAGCAAGAGCAGATGGTGAGAGACTGGGTTCCTCATCTCAAACGAGTCAAGTAAGTCAAGTAAAATCAGAAACTCACATTAATACAAATACATCCAAGCGCTTGGAGAAAGGTAGATCCATTAAACAATGCAAGTTGATCTGATCTGGAAACCGCCAAGTAGCCCCCACAAGAGAAACGAGCTGGAACTATGACCAACAAAACCAACCCGTATTCTCTCCTGTAGGTCGGTGATCACACAATCATGGACGTACCTGTGTAAACTTCCTAGGTCTCCTCGTCGGCCTAGCATAAATTATACCTACACACTCTGCGATCAATCGCTTCCTGGCGAAGGATTGCGATGGAGATCGGGAGTCTCCTACTAGTCTCACGACATGTCGCTGTCAAGTTTCAATTTGCTACTCTGACCCTCATGATGTGCCTGGTGGAGTACGATGCAGGTCTTGTCGGCATTGTGCCGGCAACCGGCTTGGCTCCTGCTCTCCTTGTATAAAGCTGTCCACCTTTCGTTGCAATTTTTGGGGTTTCTAAACATCTGCACCCCATCACCTTGTCAACTATGCTACTCTCGGGATTGGGATGACAATGTGGCTATATGTCTGTGGCTGATACAAGTAGCTGCTGAAAAATACCCAACTCCAACACCAAGTGGCGGTCCAAGGTAGATTCGTCCTTCACCTTGCACCACATGAGCTGGCCGCAATGCCGCCAAGTCGGATGTCTATTTAGTGGGTGCAATGAGTGGCTCGGGGAAAGTGAGCGTACTAGTTCATAGGAGGCACCCCACACGTTGGTATCTGCTGCTATCATCTGCTTGTCACTCGCTGATGGCTGGACTTTCCGACCGCAGTCGATTCTAGCTCAGCCGAGGCTAGTTAAGTAATCATCCCATGTTTCTTGCCGCTTGACTGTGCAAATTTGCTTGCAAAATCTTGCAAATACCTCTTTGTTTGGCAGCCTTAAATTCATTCCAGCTGAGCAGCATTGAGGCAAACGTCCACCAAATAAACCTGGCTAACCAAAGCAGGGTAACTATAAAATGCCCGTAGAGATTGCACTCTGCCATCAGCATGTGCCCGTTATGCTTTTCTGGACCAACAAATTCATTTTGTTGTGTAGTTTGATTTGCTCTGCGTGTCCTAAGGGCGCTATCCGGACACCTCCCAAAACAGGAGTGGAGCGAAGCATGGTGAAGCAGTGACGCAGCTCCTCAGAGCCGCCTTCAGGTAGATCGTCATCAGGTAGTAGGCGTTTCCCAACCTCATGTCACTTCAGTCGCTTTGTCTCGTCACAGGCCGCTCTTGGAAAAATAGTTTTTGAAATGATTCTTCTCAAAACCGTTCCGGCAACGAACCCGCGGGAGATCACAGGAGACTTTGGCGCATCCGCCCGACGCTCTGAACAAAAGACCATCGGGGATAGAACATGGGAGCAGCCACGAACTGAAGAAACTACAACCCTTCTACTTCGAGTAACATCGCCAAGGAAGTGTCTCTCTTGCATTCTATCTGGCATATACTATGGTATTCTATCTGGCATATTCTAGCTTTCTATGTGGCATATTCTGGCACTCTATCTAGCATACATTCTGGTATTCTACCTGGCGTAGATTCAGCAGTTCTATCAAGCATAGAATCTGCCACCCCATGTGGCATTCTATCTGACATGTATTCTGGCATTCTATTTTGCATATCAGTTGGCACTCTTTCTGGTATATTTTGCTACTCTACCTAGCACAAATTAGGGCAGTCCATGTGGCATGTTTTCTAACGCTCTTGTGCTTACTCTGACGTTCGTTCAGGAATATATTTTCCAAGGGTACTTCCGACAGTATATCTGGCATTCTATCGAGAATCTATTCTGGCATTCTATCTGGCATAAATGCTGGCATTGACACTTTTTCTGGCACTCTATCTGCTTCAGGTCTGGTGGTACGATGTGGTACCCACTGCGATCGAGCGCTCGCGGTTGAGGTCCGGCGGTGCCCACTGCGATTTAGCGCTCACGGTTACGGTTGAGGAGGACGCGGAGGATGAAGGAGGAGGACCGGCGGGACAGAGTCTGATAAAATCTATGTAACAACCCTCAGCTGGCAAGTGGTTAAAAATATACCATGCGAACGTCCCCCAAAGTACGGGTTTTGTATGAATCAGTTGTTGGTTTTGGATGGTACCCATCGACAGCATAAACAGCAGCTTGCTGCGTGAAACCTCAACTTGTGCGAAAAAATGTTCCAGTTTCTCGGTTTATACTAGACACAGCTGACCATCACGGCCCATGAACTGCGACAGGATAGCAAGTGGCGACAGGATGAACTGCCAACTTCTCCCCGGCCCAAAGCACCTACATGCACCTACAACTGCCTCTGGCTGAGGTCTGATGCACAAGACTAGTCTGCCCAGAATTGGATTGGAAATAAGACGGTTGGAGCGCCGAAACCTCAACAAGATTATTCGCTGCTTGTGGTGCAACGAACGCTTGTAGCAAGACATGGTGGAATTCAAAACGTTGGTGTTGTCTTCAACCAAAGGCAAGTGCATGTCTACAAGCCCAGTTACAGCATGGGATGGACGTCTATGATTGTACTCACATGAGGGTTGGAGGCCATCGCTATTGTGCCCATCTCAGCGGCTGAGGATGTTTGCCAAGTCGCTGGGCCAAGAAAATCGCCACAATGGACTTCCACCAAATGCTGGGGACATGCAGAAAGGTAAAGCGGATGAAGGACCACAGCAGCTTGAAGCCAATGTTATGAAGGCTTCCCTGACAGCAAGGAAAAGTTGACCCCCCCCGAGCTGTGAAAGGAAAGGGGACCTCTGCAATCCTCTGCTCTGGTTTTTGTCATCCTGCATTTAGAGCTAAAATGAGCTAGGGGCTAGGCAGCTAGGCTCGGCTTTGCTTTTTTCTATTCGAGACACTAGTTGAGGTGCGCCACATCGTTGCCAAGGCATGATGCAAAAACACGTTATATAAATCTCTGAACACTTTACACAAGGTGCAAGGTGCTCCCACCACCAGAACTTCAAACACGCCTAAGCTGCAATTATTTGGAGGATGTGTGCACTGTACAGTCTAAATCATCTCACTCCCTACACGAGTCTTGCTCTTGAATCTTACCATGTGGCCTGTTGTAGCGGTCCCACTGACTCCAACAAGAAAGCTTGCACTACACCAAGGCTCTGGATAAGAGACATCACAACGAAACAAACGAGCTGAGTTATGCAACTTCCAGCGTATTCATGTCCATGCCATTACAGATGGGATCAGTTGCAATTTCGCCGCCGCCTCCTCCACATAGTTGATATTTTGCAGGTAAGGCTCAAACTCCTTGGTTCACAAGGGTGCTCTGTCACAATGCAACCCACTCGGATGAAGCTGTCCACTGTGCCCATGAAGCTCTGATGTCTAGAGGTCATGTGTGCGACACGACACTTGTCGGACGTGCATGCGTTTGCGCAACGATTGGGCAAGGCCACGCTGGATGGAAATAGGTCGTTGTCAAAAATCAGCACTTTCGCAACACTCCTTAGCTCCATGGTTCCGAGCTGCATCAGGACCAGATCTGCATTGACATTGCGCACAAACACGCTCTCAATTTATGTCAACAGCTTGGGGAAAAAAGAATTTAGATCACCGGTCACCGTGGCGCTTTCCAGAACCCCTCAAACAGGAAAAGGTAAAAGGTCACGCTCCCAGTCCAGGTCTGGCAATCTCAACGAACACCTTCTCAGCTCGAGAGTCATGCCTTGTTTTGACCCAACAAATGCGGAGTTGGGAGTGAACAAAGAGGCTGCCACGTCCCACAAGTGTCTAGGCCGATGAGGCACATGTCACCCTGAATCACGCAATTCTCAGGGTTCTCCATGTGAACATGGAAATCCAAGGTGGTATCAAAGTTGTCGTCGTCAATCCTTAGACCATTGTGGCAGGGTCAGGCGGATCTCAAAGTACTCAATCTATATATGTCATAGATTGTCATAGGACAAAATGACAAAGAGAAATATTTTAGTCCTAGAAATCGTGTCGATCCTTGCGCAGCTACTCACCCTGCATGGGCATTACCAATTACCTTACATGTAACCAAGCATTGACTCATTGACCCGTTGCTTCCAACACTTTGGAATACGGGCAGCTTCTAGCAACTCTGGGACCTCGATTCCACCACAAGTAGGGTTATATTTATATAAGTATCCTCACACTCCTATCAGCTGCAGTTGGCTGGAGCACACTTGTTTCCTCCCAGGATTGAGCAGAAGTTGCACAGGCTCTACCAAACTCCACCCGTTCAACAAGACGTCTCACGCGAGAACCAAAGAGTGCAATGGTCTGAAGGCGAAGAATGCACGAGAACAGCACACAGGTTTACTGGAGTCCTTTACTAGAACCCACGTGTCAAATCCAAATTACACCTCAAATTCAAACACTACATCAAACCTCAAATCATACATCTGCAGCATGAATTGTTAGGTCGTTGGAGAGTGCTTCACGAACGACCCCGCCGTTCAAGGCGAAGCAACCACACGAACGGTCGCAACCAACTGCTCAAGCTGGCACGAGCGGCAGAAGTCAACCTGAAAACAGCTAGACTGGTTACTGGTTGCTGATATTTTCTGATACAAAAAACAGTTCATCATCTCCCATTTATATAATCCGTTAAATTTGCTGAATCTTCCTGAGCGTCAAGTCAACCTCGAAGGCTTTCAGCGATTCTCCAGCTTCGAAGCGCACCTGACCTGAAAGAACGAAGCGAAGCGCGAAGCGAAGCGAAGATCTCCTGCACCGAGTTTTCGAGAGTTTTACAGGGCCGGTCCTCATCCCAAATCTTCTGCTGGTCACCTACCTCACTTCTTGGGAAAACCCTTCTTCCTGATTCATTACAGTGGTTTCAGAGTGGATCCTTTGTCATTCAATGCAGTCAAAGGAATTACAAGTGTGTTTGGCAATGGAGACCAGCTCTCTTTGCTGGCCAAGCTGCTTTCGGTATGCCGATACCTGAGTTCGATGCACAACATATATTGCAACATGTGCAACTACAGTAGAACTTTACTGGAGTAAATGGCTATTCTCTTGCAAAACTGAACGACCGAGACATCTAGAGACCGAGAATTCCTGCGCCGCCACACCTCGGACGAAACGATCGGCACGGTGCGACCAGGGCGCTTGGCACCGGCCTTGGCAGATCCGTCCTGGCGCCGTTCCGGCGGTCTTTTTTGGCGGCGACATGAGAGGAAAGGTTGGAAGATCGGAAGATCTACACTACCTGAAACAATCAATTCAAGGAAGTGAAAAACCATCTGGTTTGTAGAGGAACAGGGTCATCCAAGGGGCCATGTTCGACTTCCATGATCATGGCTGTTCCACATCTGAACTATCATCTCACTGGAGGGTCCAAGATTGCTCAATCTGCTATAAATTCTGGCATAAGGACAATGCACATGCAATACGACACCTCCAAATTTGATCATGTCCTAAGCCATGGACGGTGGAACAGAATTTGAACATGAACAATTCACAAACAATCGTCATTTCAGAAACCAAATCCGTGGATTGATCAGTGCACCAACATTTCATGACCCATAAACTCATTGCAAGTTAGTCTTATGCATTGTTATTAACATCGCAGGCTTGAGGGAAGGCTGAGGCTGATTCACCATTGGACAAGCTTGGCCCATCGCCTCCCATGCCCCCTGAGGCCCGGAAGCTGTGCTCTTTCTCCGGGCTTCGCTCCGATCACGACCCTCGTGGCTGGGGCCGGGCATCTGCCTCACCGGGAGCGCCGCAACAGCGGTCGGGTCACGCGAAAGGCCACCGTGGTCGACCTGCCTGCGACTTCTCCGAAGGCTGCTTTCCCAGATTGAAGGAGATCAGGATGCTCACATCGGGGAAGACCTCTCGGCAACGGCACGTTTCGGCCAACCCCGGCCTGCCCCTTTGGGCTGTGTTGTTTTTCTTAAGAGATCGAGGTATTTGCTTAGCCTGAGCCGAGCGATTGAAAGTCATGAAGCCGACATGGGTGAGCATCAATTCCTTCGCCGGGTTGTTGCTCATTGAACTAGAGAATCGACACATCAGAAGCACAGCTTGAGGGATCTTGAGGGAATAGTCCTCCCAGCTGGTGCATGAGGCAGTTGTGCGGCCAAGACAGCCCAGGTCTTAAGCATGCTCCATGACCTCGGGAGCATCCGAATTCCGTCGAATTCCCTAGACTCCTTGAACATCCATTTCCATCCTCTTCCCCCAAAACCGCACCTTCCGGAACTGCGCCATGGCCCCGACGCAGGAGAGACAGGGCACCTCGGAGACATGAAGCCAAAGCTCCCCTTCCACCGCAGAGCCATCCATCGGAGGAGCACCTGCGGAGAGACCAAGAGCGTGAAGGCGTGGAGGCGTGAGACCCTCCAACCTAAGAGCGATGGCCTCCTACCTAATAGCGAGGGTAAGAAAGGCAAGATGCATGAGGTGTCGGAAGAGACCACGCCAACCTACTAGCGATGGCCTTCCTCCTACTAGCGATGGCCTCCAACCTACTAGTGATGGCCTCCAACCTACAATAGCGAGAGCCTCCAAGCGATGGCCTCCAACCAAATAGCAATGGCCTCCAACCTACTAGCGATGGCCTCCCTCCTACTAGCGATGGTCTCCCAACCTACAAGCGACGCCTCCAACCTACTAGCGATGGTCTCCCAACCTACTAGCGATGGCCTCCAACCTAATTAATAGCGAGGGTCTCCAACCCAATGGCGATGGCCTCCTACCTACTACTTTGATGGGCTGTGTGTCTAGTAATAGGTTAGAAGCATCATTGGCTTTAATAAGCATTTATTAACTTGTAAATAACAAGTTATAACTAGTTGTAAGTATCTAGTAATCTGTTTAAACATTTGTTGAAATTATCAATATTAGATAAATTTTAGGTAATTGTTTTATTTTCAATAAAATTTTAAGTGAGTTAGTAGAGAAATTAGTCTATTTACTAATTGAAATTAGATGAATTAATAAATAAATTACAAAGGTTAGTAAATGAGCTAATTAGTTTAGTAACTTAATTAAATCTCAATAATCACGATGATCTGGCTGTCTATTTTTATCAACATAAAGTTGCCAACAGCGCAACATGCGCAGCCCAAAGGGTTGCAAAACCATGAAAGGCAAAGCATCATATTTTATTGCGCAGCCTTTTTGCTGACAGCATGCAAGGTTCTTCATTGTGGCATGCTTGGCCAACAAAGGCCCATAGTATCATTGCACGCTAGCAACTTTGCCAATACAGGCCATCTTAAAGCCATTGCCACCATCCAAACAGTTGCCAATACAGGCCATTTAAATAACATTTCAAGCTTCTGTTATTGCCAACACAGGCTGCTGGTTGCCAACACAGGCCATTTTTCATATGTTTCCACTTGAACAGTATCATTCTTCTTGACTTGTGTCAGCAAGGTAACACAAGTTTTGAGTGAAAGAAAAGATTTTTTAAGGGACAGCCAACATGCTAAGGTACACAAGTGTAAAGTTCAAGTAAGTTGGCAGAAAAAGCACACAACAAACAACTCGCACAAAACATATATGCAGTACCCAAGATTCACTTATAGTTGGCCTGGCTACAAAAGTTCACTGATAAGTGCTGGTATCAGCCATGGATGCTGGTGTGGTGAGGGCCTTAGAAGCCTTGAGGGATGACCAGCAAGCCGGCATCCAGAACAAAGCAAGGCGAATGTTGGCCTTGCTCAAGACCCATCAGCTGGTCTATGAGCAGGAGATCCACACCAACATGCTGAGTGTGCATCCAGATAATCGCTCTGGACTGCTGGTGAACTGTGCTGATGTTCACTCGAGGGGGGCCCATGCTCTGAGAGTGGGCTGGTCACCAGAAAAGCTGGGTGAGTCTTGGTGCATAGACCTTAGCGCTGCCAAGAAGCAGTCTCTTATTATGCCAATACAGGCCAAGCTGTCTTTTACTATGTTCACTGTCTGTAACAATTTCATTGTCATTGTTGTTGTTATTGTTGTTCAGGCCACTGCTGGCTCCTGGGCTGGCCCTGCAGCTCATGCTGGCTCTACAGCTGCAAGCTCTACAAGTGCTGGAGGAGGACCTGCTGGAGGAGGACCTGCTTCAAGTGCTGGACCGTCTTCAAGTGCTGGTCAGGCAGGAGATGGAAATGGTTGGTGATTGCTAATACAGGCCATTTGCTTAACTAATGTATTTTTTGCCAATACAGGCCTTTTGGTTCAACTTGATTGTATTTATAGTATATGGACAAAACAATATTGTATTTAAATTTAAGCCAATACAGGCCTGGAATATAGTGCCAGTACAGGCCTTGAATCAAGAGCACTCACAACGATGCTGAATGACCCTGCAGGAGTTCTCCACTGAAATGACTGAAATGGAAGGCACTGGGATGGTTCCACCAAAGCTCCAACACACCCAGCAGATGTGGCCTGCTGGTGTGGTCAGCTGGTGGAGGGACCCTACTGACAGCACTATGCTGTGGTGGCAGGATGCTGGTGGACTATGGCACAGGTGGCGAGATCTTCCACCTGCTGGAAGACAAGGCTCTGGTGGCTGGGCATACAAGATGGCATGCTTACTGCATATGCGGGACCATGGTGAGACAGAGGCATTCGATTGGGCGCTTAAAAGGCTGGGCATGCATCCTGGAATGAGAAGGCCAATGGAAGAAATTAATCAAAGGTATCAGCACCTTGGTGCCTCTGCCTATACATACTGTTTTCCTGGACAGTAAATGTTGGTTGGTAGTGCTGGAGAATGCTAGTAATATGCTAAGAGTTAACCTTTTGCAAGTACTGAAATGTCAGCACTACCAATGCTGGAGCTCAGATTGACCAGTTTCACCAGTTTCACTCCAAATACCTGGCTTTGTACAGATTTCCAAGCCAAAAGGTCCTGTTACTGTAACTTTTGCCAATACAGGCCATTGTATGCAATGGCATTGCCACTACAGGCCATTTGCTGAACTAATGTACTTGGTTTTTTGCCAATACCGGCCTTTTGGTTCAAATTGATTATATATATATAAAGTTTTGAATTATATTGTAACCTAAAAGGTTTCAATATACCTTTTAAAATATAAAATTTTCAATCACAAGGTTATTAAAATCTGCTTCTAGCCTCTAAAAGCAAAACCTGGATTTTTAGGATTTGCTTTTAGCCTCTAAAAGCAAATCCTGGATTTTT